CTAAGTGGCTACTAAAAAAAGACTGAACATACCCCATTTGCAATAGTTACATAGTTACATAGCTGAAAAGAGACTTGCGTCCATCATGTTCAGCCTGTTTTTTGCTGTTGATCCAAAAGAAGGCAAAAAAAAACAAAAAAAAAAACAGTTTGAAGCACAATTTTGCAACAAGCTAGGAAAGAAATTCCTTCTTGACCCCAGAATGGCAGTCAGATTTATCCTTGGATCAAGCAGTTATTACCCTACATTGAAAGATTATATCCTTGAATATTCTGTTCTTGCAAGTATGCATCTAGTAGCCGCTTGAACATCTGTATGGACTCTGATAAAACCACTTCCTCAGGCAGAGAATTCCACATCCTGATTGTTCTTACAGTAAAAAAACCTTTCCTTTGCCTTAGGCGAAATCTTCTTTCTTCCAGTCTAAACGCATGGCCTCATGTCCTATGTAAAGTCCGGTTTGTGAATAGATTTCCACACAATGGTTTGTATTGGCCCCGAATATATTTGTATAATGTTATCATATCCCCTCTCAGGCGACGTTTTTCTAAACTATATAGGTTTAAATTTGTTAACCTTTCTTCATCATAGCCGATATGTTCCATTCCTTTTATTAATTTTGTAGCCGCCTCTGCACTTTTTCTAGTGCCATAATATCCTTCTTTAGAACAGGTGCCCAAAATTGCACAGCATATTCAATATGGGGTCTTACCAGTGATTTATAAAGAGGCAAAATTATATTCTCGTCCCGAGAATGAATGCTCTTTTTCATGCATGACAATACCTTACTGGCCTTGGCCACTGCTGATTGATATTGCACATTGTTGCATAGTTTGTTGTCTATAACAATTCCCAAGTCCTTTCTGTGTGTTATCCCTAATTCGCCTCCATTAAGGGTATACGTTGCTTGTGTATTCTTTACGCCGAAGTGCATAACTTTGCATTTTCCAACATTAAATTTCATCTGCCATTTGAGTGCCCAGCCCCCCAGTCTATCTAAATGCCTCTGCAGCAAAGTAATATCTTGCTCACATTGTATTGTTTTACAAAGTTTTGTGTCATCTGCAAACACTGAAAC